GTTTGCAGAATTTATGTCCTAAAATTAAAAAAGTTGTTTAACAAACTATCATTAAAATATTGACACAGTTCACTATTTGTTACGAGGGAGGAGTGCAGAGAAAGGGACAGCCAGGTGTTAGAGAAGCACGTGCACAAGTGCCGACAAAGTTATTGATTCATTTACCTGTGCTGTGCCGTCTCCATCCTTTCTCGAACACCCGGCTGTCCCTTTCTCTGCACTCCTCCCTCGTAACAAATAGTGAACTGTGTCGATATTTTAATGATAGTTTGTTAAACAACTTTTTTATTTTTAGGACATAAATTCTGCAAACACCTCTCAGAGCTGGTCTGACGTTTTCATTATGATCAGTGTTTCATTGAGTATTTTATGTTTATAAGTTTTCGAGTTAGATTGCAATTCATCGGTCCGCTTTTGACCCAAACGGACTATTTTTATATGCTTCACACATTGTACCCATGTGGGGAATGGAACCCGGGTCTTCGGCGTGACGAGCGAACGCTGTAACCACTGGTGTTTTATTTACGTCAAGTTTATTACAATTTGCTGCAAGTATTGCAATTTGCGTTTTTATTACAATTTACGTCGTAACACAGCTGTTGTGGGCTGTGTGCTGTTTGCTAATTGAGTGACTTTTTTAGAAATATAGAACATAATATAATATTGTAGATAATATTAAATGGTCAGCGTTTATTCTCTAAGCACACAATTACCGTGACACAATTGTAAACTCGTTCACCGTTTCGATACAAACATACACAAGGTGGCACCCCTAAATACAGCTCTTACGATACATATTCTGTCATGCAACCATCCTCCCTGTGCCTTGGCAGCACCATGAAGTTAGAAACGGATTGGGGATTGGGGATTCGAATCCCGAATCTGAATATTCGGGATATATAAAAATATTCAGATTCGGGATTCAAATCCCGAAACCCGAATGTTGAGAAAACTCAGATTTGAGGTTCAAATATAGGAAACTGTAGTTACCTAGGTATACAACGAGCACCTAGCACATTAGAAGGGGGATGAAATCTAAGAGTTCAAATGCCGAATGCCGAGTGTCGAATGTGCAAAAATACCGAATCTGAAAAAAAATTCAGATTCGGGATTCGAATCCCGAATATGAAAAAAATTCAGATTCATCATTCGAATCCCGAATGTGAAAAAATATTCAGATTCGGAAATCGAATCCCCAATCCCGAATCCGTTTCTAACTTCATGTACCCTGCCTTGGCCTGTGTAGGTCCGGGTTAGAATTTGTCTTTAGTAACATATGCTAGTCGTATGAGGCGACTAACGAGATCGGGTGGTCAGATTCGCTCACTTGGTTGACACATGCCACCGTATCCCAATTGCGTAGGTTGAAGCTCATGATGTTGATCACTGGATTGTCTGGTCCAGACTAAAAGTATTTTCAGACCGCCACCATATAGCTGGAGTATTACTGAGTGCGGCGTTAAACAACAAACCAACCAACCAACTGGGCCCAAACTTTCAGCAGCAAACCAAGCGGCAGTCATTAGCGCTACCATATTGGCCACCCGCATCTCAAAGGCCCGAACACAAAGAAATATAATGAAATATTGTTCCCACGTTCTTACAATTACAGTATGGCTGCGTTAAATCTTTGTGAATAATGAATTATAAATTAAAAACATAAACAGACATTTGTGTCAAAATATCAAACTTATTCATATGTATATTTTATTATCAGTATTCCATGTGACGTACAGTATTGTTGTTGAACACCTCTCAGCAATATTCTGACGATATGACGGGGAGATGTAAATATTCAAGTCTGGGCCAGACAATCCAGTGATTGATATCGTGAGCATCGATCAACGCAATCGAGCCTGTTAACATGCATCAATCAAGTGAGAACCCCTGATCACCAAAGGCGTTAGTCCCTCTTTAGCATTAAACTATATACTAAAAGCAATGGTTCTAAAGTCAAGTTCAATACATTTGTTTTGATATAATTATTCCAGTGTTCAGAATTTCAAAGTCGTATTTATTACTTCTATCAATCTCAACCAGAAACGTAATTGAACGAAAACACCTTCTTATTACGTGATGAATATTTCATAAGCATCGTTAGACTTGGACCCTGCAACGCGAAATTGTAAGCTTCCAATTACAAGCGCTAAGGCATCGCGTATAAAAATCCAGTAAAATCATCTTCGTTCGCTCATGTAAAATATATGAAAGCTGGCAAGCTACAATAACGGCTTAGACCGCTAGCACCCCGCTGTTGTATATTGTACATCAAAGATGTTGTATGGGTGGATTAAATCTCAGGAATATAGGCTTTGTTTTACTCAAAGCCAATTGCTTCTCTATCTCAGCTTCTGTGAAGAAGTAAGACATCAATTTCTGTCGACTTGTACTGGGTTTAATCTCAACCATTATTCATTCGTTTACACTTTTTAAACTTAGCAAGTATTTCATTCGTTTATCTATCGTACATTGAAACATCTTGTGAAATATTTAAATGATAAGCTGCCTGGAGATTTGTGGATATTTCGTTTGCTTTTTAAATCGGGAATTCGATAATTTGAAACTCTATAGCCATTTATTACATGAATTTTAAAGTGAAATTGGACCTTAAGTAGTTTGGAATACGCCATAAAATGCAACAGTGAATTGCTTAACATTTCTGTTGTGTATGTAGACAGCAGCATGAGAATTCAGATCGATTTAGTGAGTGTGTATGGAAGTACGCCGATTTTAACAATATTCCAATACTATCACGGCGGAGGACACCAGAAATGGGCTTCACACATTGTACCCATGTGGGGAACCAAAGCCGGGTCTTCGGCGTGACGAGCGGGTGCTTTAACCACTAGGCTACCCCACCGCCCTTTCAGATCGACAGTGTGTTTGTCGTTTCGGTTTGTTTAATTTGACGCATGTGAGTGAGTCAGAATTGTCAGAATGTTGTAGAAAACATTTAAATTAATGAGAAAGCTTTGCGCTATTGTTCTCAACAAACAGTTGTTCTTGAGTTCTGATTGCAGACATGGCTGTGGTACTTTGGGTAATTGTTTGATCGGCATTCTAGAAGTTGTATAGCCAAAAAATCTAGCATACTCCTTTATTGATGACAGTGTATAAGTTTGATATGAAATTAGAGTACTAAAAATGAAGCATAAAACTTGAAGGATTATCACGTTTTGTTTATTGCAAAGAGCGGCGGTTTGATGTAGATTCTTACAACGTTGTCACTTTGAACTTGAAACGTCGCTCTATGCAATAAACAAGAAGTTGTAATCCCTCAAGTTTTAAGCTTCATTTTTAGTACTCTGATTTCATATCAAACTTATACACTGTTATTGGGTGAAGAACAAACAAAACTATAACTCTCAAACCCTTTTATCATATGTTTGATTTTGAACAGAAAACATTTTAGGCCAGCGATAATATATAAACAAAGGAACTGTACGGTGCTTCGTCAGCGATCTATGAATACGTTTGCTTATTTATTTTCGAAAATAGTTTGATTAAAAATGTTAATGCTGAAAGTTATAAGTTCGCATAATACATAACTCCTGGTGGGTATTTTTAGACATGCTATTATTTACAACATTAACAAAATCATAGGGGGCGTCTGATTGCAAATCTATTTCATAGCTCAGTCGTGAGTTAGCAAAGTTTTGGAAACTCATTGTCACATATCATGTCGTCACTGGAGTTTCGGGGGCGCTGGGGGTAACCTAGTGGATTAAGCGTTCGCTCGTCATGCCGAAGACCCGGGTTCGATTCCCCACATGGGTACAATGTGTGAAGCCCATTTCTGGTGTTCCCCGCCGTGATACCGCATGTTGCTAAAACCGACGTAATACTAAATTCACTCACTTACTCAATGGAGGATAGATCTCAGAACATAACCATTTTTATTTCAACTGATATTTTGTGTGATAATAGATTGTGAGGATGATCAGTATTGAGTTCTACTCTGAAATTTCAGACGCTAGAGCTTAAACACATTAAATAGTTTACAGATATCGATTTGAGTATATGGCATTTGGGGATTCTTTTTAAAATTCGCCGCATTGTGAAATTTTCTTTTAATTAACAATATTCAGTGTAACATGAACACAATAAATGTGAATCTATTTCACCAACAATTTTACCCTTTATGTACGACCAAGCTGTTGGTTGGTAATAAAACTGCATTGATTGTTGTTCGCGTTTTATAACTAACCTTTCGGACTTATAAAGTGACATTTTCAGAAAACATCATGGGTATTTGAAACTATTGCAACATATTGTTGCGACATTCAAAAATGAATCTTGGTGGAGATATATCATGCCAGGATTCAAACTGGATTCGCATTGCCATTATATATTAGTTAACCGACTACCGTAGCTTTACATCTGAATTAGTGGCGGTGGGGTAGCTCAGTGGTTAAAACGTAAGTTCGTCACGCTGTAGGCCCGGGTTCGATTCCCCACATGGCTACAATGTGTGAAGCCCATTTCTGGTGTCCCCGCCGTGATAATGCTGGAATATTGCTAAAAGCGGCGTGAAACCATACTCACTCACATAGAAATTAGACTGCAACCACGGCTAGGCGCCCCAGAGACTGTTGCAGATTTCATGTATGAAATAGAATGTCAGCGGCAGTCAGAGCTTTTACTCTGCCCAGAAAGAATTTCAGCTATATCATAAAAGGTTAGGTTAATATGTGAGGAGAACTATGGTTTTACGCCGAATTTAACAATATTCCAGTAATACCACGGCGGGGGACACCAGAAATGGGCTTCACACATTGTACCCATGTGGGGAATCGAACCCGGGTCTTCGGCGTGACGAGCGGACGCTTTATCGATTAGGCTACCCCACCGCCCCTAAAATTGAACATGGCGTTATTGTTTGTGAAAGACGGTATGCACTCAAACACAGCTGTATAAAAGTTCAAGGTGATATCATTGTACATGTAACATTGTAGTGATATCCTTGTATGTATGTTTACAAACTTATGTTTTGGTTCCAGAAAGTTGCGCTGAAGATGGGTTTGGACGTCCGTAAGAGCTCCTCTTTGTGGCGTGACCGGGCCCTAGTGGAAGTTAACGTTGCAGTCTTACACAGCTACCAGGTAGGAACCCTGCTGGGAGCTTACGCATCCACTTTTGCTGGACACTGTCGCATTCGTGACCACTCGCCCCTTTCCGTAACCTCCATTCGGCTTGTCCCGGAATAACACGAGTTGGTCATGGTTGGACACCTTTGCTGCTTATATATCAAGTTTCAATAATGGCAAGGAGTGTTAATCTTGCTCCATAGTTCTACTGTATCTTAATATGTTATCTGCATTTAAAATTAGCTTTGACAAACGTACATGCAGTAGGGCTGCGCAATATAACCGGTTTACCGGTATTTACCGGTTCAGACATGAAAACGATACGTATTGCGATAACGCTGATCGAAAACCGGTATTTTGACATGCAATCGGAAAACTTCGTAACACTCGGAAATGTTCGGATATTTCCGTTTCTAAATTGTTCCTTTCCTTGTTTCATTTGTGCCAAACATTATTTACAAGTTTAATTTGTCATGATTAAAAGGTTTTAGTAAAGCCTAATCAAGCATTGTGATTTTGTTGTGTTTTTGCTTTATAAATCAAGCATTAACTCGACTATAAGTAGGTTTTTGTTAAAAAATAACTTCTTGCAATATATTGCAATACATATCGCAATACATGCTTTCGTATCGCAGTATATTGCAATATGAAAATTCCCTGCAATACCCACCCCTAACATGCAGACAGTACGATAGTATTCGTCACGATATGGCTGAAACATTGTCGATGTGACTTAAGATATTATCTCACTCACTACGATAGTATTCATAACCAATGTACTTAGTGTGGCTCAATAAACAGATACCTGTGAGGATCCGGGTTAGAATTGGTGTCTAGCCAACCAAGATTGTCCTAAGAGCTGAAATATGGGATCGGAGATGACTTGCTTGTCCTCGTATCCTAATAGTGTAGACCAATGCTCATGATGTTGATCCCTGGATTATCTGGTCCAGACTGAGTGCTGCGTTAAATGTTGTTTAACAACAAACAAACATATAGAATTATTATTTGGAATTTATTTAAAACTTAGAACTGGGCGCTGGCATCTCACAAAAATATTAGGCATTAAATATGGGTCACATGCCGTTCTAATTATCTGACACCCCTGAAGATTCGGGTTAGAATTGATATTCAGTAACCCATGTGTGTCGTAAGAGGCGACAAACGGTATTGGGTGGTCAGGCTCGCTGACTTGGTTGACACCTGTCACCGTATCCCAGTGGCGTAGATCGATGCTCATGCTGTTGATCACTGGATTGTCTGGTCCAGACTCGATTATTTACAGCCCACTGCCATATAACTGGAATATTGTTGAGTGCGGCGTAAAACTAAACTCACCCACTGATTATCTGACCACGTGTCGTTCCAGTCCTCAGGTGTGACCATCACTGACCATCACGCGGCGTCCGAGTCGTTCATGAAGCACCTGGAGAACGAACAGCGTCTTCGGGGTGGCTGTCCGGCGGACTGGGTGTGGGTGGTACCGCCCATGAGTGGAAGCCTGACACAAGTATTCCATCAAGAGATGCTTCTGTACAAACTCAAGCCATCATACGAGTATCAGGTACGTACACGTATTTGGGATGTCAACCTACTGTCAACCTACTGTTAACGTACTGTCAACCTACTATCAACCTACTGTCAACCTACTATCAACCTACTGTTAACGTACTATCAACCTACTGTCAACCTACTGTCAACCTACTATCAACCTACTGTCAACCTACTATCAACCTACTGTCAACCTACTATCAACCTACTGTCAACCCACTATCAACCTGTCTGTTGACCTACTGTCAACCTACTGTCAGTCAACTGTCAACCCAGTGTGTGAAATATCCACTGGCCCGCTAGCCCGTGACTAGTAAAAATCCAGTTCGGCCAGTAAACCTCCACAGTCACTGGCTGGTGAATTTCTATGGGATCATCTTTTTATATATCACTCTCTCCGACTTGTTAAATTATAATACACTTTTAAATCATGCAAGATTATGACCTGATAAATAATGTTATTTTACCTTTTTGTAATATTTTGGTTAGTTTCTTCATTCAAATTTCGGGCTAGTGAGTTATTTTGAGGGCTTGTAACTTTCAGGCATACCTAGCCCGACTGGCTAGCAAAATTTGGAAACTATTTCGCAGACTGTGTCAACCTAACAGTATGCTATACCACCTTGTAGATCGGGTTAGAAATGGTCTTCAGCGACCCGTGCTTGTCTTTAGAGACAAATGATTCATTGGATCTGATGAGCACGCTCACTGACGTGGTTCACGCCTTTCATCGTCAAAATTGCGTCGATCAATGCTCATGATATCAATCACCGGATTGTCTGATCCATACCCGATTTACAGACCGCTTTCCTAGAGTTTGAATGTTGACAAATGCAGTATTAAACAGTAAGATGCAATTATTAAAAGATGGATACCTGTGAAGATCCAGTTTAGAATTGGTCTTCAGCAACACGTGCTTGTCGTAAGAGGCGTGGTCAGACTCGCTGACCTGGTTGACACATGTCAACGTATCCCGATTGCGTACATGGATACTCATACTGTTGATCACTGGATTGTTTGGTCCAGACTCGATTATGTACAGACCGCCGCCATATAGCTGGAATATTTCTGAGTGCGACGTTGAACAACAAACAAACAAATAAAAAAAATACAAGACGGAAGCGTTGTAAAATCTCTAAGAAACCACTCAATGGTTTTTTTATTGAACTTAAAGAGATATTTTTAACACATAAACCTCGATGAGAAAGCTCACGAAAACATAAACGACGAGTGTTTGAAAGAATCAATCTTATTTTACTCTCATGGGGTATAAACCTACTTTGTTTTCCGTTTCAGGAAGATCCATGGAAATCCCACGTTTGGAAGAAGGATCGTGGAGACAAGTCCAAGTCTTTGGATCGACCAAAGAGGAAGTTTGGTTTCAGGGAACTTGCAAGGTATGTGGTTGAGGGGAGATAACTCGTACCATTCACGATACCTTTATCACATATTTGGGCTGTAAATTGGCAAATATATGGAATAATAATACAGGTATCTAAATACAGGTATTGCGATGTCGGAAGCTAAAGTGAGTGAGTGACATTTATAGTTCATGCAGATTCAGTTTTCTATATAATAGGGCCCGAAAAATAACAGCAATCTCAAAATAAGGATTGATAGTAAGGGATTCTTCCTTTCTTTTATAAACATAAACTATGGGTACCCGGGAGATCCGGGTTAGAATTGATCTTCAGACCCCCGTGATTGTCGTTAGGAAACAACTAACGGGATCTGGTGGTAAGGCTCGTTGACTTGGTTAATTCATGTTATCGTATCCCAGTTGCGTAGATCGATGTTCATGCTGTTGATCACTGGATTGTCTGGTCCAGACTCGATTATTTACAGACCGGCGCAATAACGATGGGATATTGCTGAGTGCGGCGTTAAACAACAAATAAACACACAATAAAAATGGAGATAATCAGAAAACTTGTTTTATTTTATCCAATATACCAGTATAAATTGTATCACAATACCTATCATTTGAAAAGCGTACTGCAATATACCGGTAAATACCGTGCATCTTAGAAATTATGTTTCTCAACTTTCATTGAGTTTCCATTCAATTCAGTAATTATATTTTTGCTTTCTTTCATCAGCTTAGCTGTGACCATTTAAATCAAATTTGGTGCTAAAGATTACTCAAAAAATAACTTGCTTCACAATGAACAGTGTCTAGATTTAAGCCTGAAATGGATGTATAAACGTGCCGCATGGTCCATCTGAAGGTTTTCAACTACATCTTACTCCACCGCCACCATTCCAACAACAACAACGACCAATTGTAAATTACCAATTATCAACGTCACTTTTTCAAAGTCGTATCCTTGTCTGATTTCATGAACGTCATGTTACATATATACTATAGAGCAAAAGAAAGTACATCGTGTTTTTAGGAATGGAAAATTTAAAACTATTGAATTAAAAGGTTTATATGTTACCTTCCCCAGGGCGGTGAAGTTTTCGGCCAAGCTGATGGGTAAGGCTCTAGCCAGGAGGGTGAAGTGCATCATTCTGTTTGCCACGGAGACAGGCAAATCAGAGAGGTTCGCCAGGACACTCTGTGAGATCTTCAAACACGCCTTCGATGCTAAGGTAAATGTACCTTTGTACAAAGGGGACGGTGGGGTAGCCTAGTGGTTAAAGCGTTTGCTCGTCACGCCGAAGACCCGGGTTCGATTCCCCACATGGGTACAATGTGTGAAGCCCATTTCTGGTGTCCCCCCTCCGTGATATTACTGGAATATTGCTAAAAGTGGCGTAAAACCATATTCACTCACTCCCACATTAAACTGTCCCGCCATGTTATAACTGAACACTGTTCAAAGCAGTGCAAACCCAACTTACTCCCTCATACTACAGGTGCTGTGTATGGAGGAGTACGACATCATCGACCTTGAACACGAAGCCCTCGTCCTCGTCGTTACCAGTACCTTCGGCAACGGCGACCCCCCTGAGAACGGCGAGGTAAGACGCTGTATAAGGACCAATGTTACATATATATATATATACTGAAGAGAAAAAGAAAGTATACCGAGTTCATTGGCATTGAAACTGCTAAGATGAGTTGTTAACTTTGACTATATAATTTGACGATAACACGTTCCTGCAACAGTTTGTGCTAGTAACCTGGGCCCTTATTCTCGAAAGGTTCGTAGCCCTAAGAATTCTTAACTTTGATCGTAGCCAATGTGTTAAGAATGGGCTTAAGAAGTTCGTAGGGCTTAAGAAGTTTCGAGAATAGCTAGCCTGTAGCCTTGTATTTTTATGAAAAATATTTTTCATGTGAAGAAGACTGCAACTGTAAGAGCCCAAATATTCGAAATGTGAAATGTTGTACCGAAAATGCAAATTGATTGTTTTTTTCAAAGGTAATATGTGTGTCATGCACGTCAGCAGAATCGCATTACCATGTTCGATTCCACTCTCAAAGACTGTAACATAGTTGCAACACTTCTGCTTACCTCTGCATCACTTTAAACATGGAATAAAACAGCCACTTTAATCCCAATCCTAACTACTTTTGTTACATTTTAGGCTTTTGCGAAGAGTCTATTTGAAATGAAACACCCGGAAGGAAGCAACAAGTAAGTGTAATTTTTACTGCGATCACCAGTGAAGATCGGTGTTAGAATCTTTCATCGACCCATGCTTGTCGTGAGAGGCGACTGATCCGATGGTTAAAATTGCTGGTTTTGTGTTGAAACATCGCGACATTGTGTATGTGGGTGTTATTATTATTATAGGATATTTCTATAGTGCACATATCCAGGCAACTAGTGCATGCTCAAGGCGCTGGTATTTTTCCCTCGATCATTGGATGTCAATCTCAACGGCTCATCGTATTATCAATCTCAACTCCCTGGGGAGTATACAACTCTTGCTGCCACTAGGCGCACCGAGTTATTGTGGCTTTCTCATCCTAACGAGGTACCCATTCACAGCTGGGTGGACTGGGACACATAGTCACAGCACTTTGTCCAACTTCACTGCACGTTGCTGTACCCGCAACTAGGTGTTTGCACGTATTCATGTGGCCACCATCTTGTCATGCACAGGGCTGTGTACTGTACACTAGGGGTTGTGACAACACGGAAAGAGGCTGCACACAAAGTTGACTCCAAGGTTTTTACACCCGGTCACAGGTAGGCTCGATCCTGGCACCTCAACCTCGCTGGATCACTAGCCTGGCGCCTTAGCAAAAGCTCGCCCTCCGCGCCCCACCGTGGTCATGATATCAATCACTGGATTGTCTGGTCCAGACTCGATTATTTACAGACCGCCGTCATATAGCTAGAATATTGCTGAGTGCGACGTTAAACCTTTGTCACATCTTACGAAGTGAATGAAGAGTTGTAAAATGGCACTTACCAGTGCTTTTGAACAGCGTATTTCCTTACGTAATGAAAGGGCAGCTCGAATTCCCAGTATTGTGCAACTCAGATCTATGTACGTGGGAGAGATGTTGTGTCTTTCTAAAACAGTTTTTTTAAATAACCTTTTCCATTGCATACGTATGTAACATTAATGGTGAAATCAGGACTGATATTACTAGAAATAGTTTTCAATTGCAGTAGTATCAAAGGACGTTCCAGCTATTTCTTTCTAAATTGTTCCTCGCAACATTTCTTCGTCAGCATCTTTAGCAATTCAACTGAAAATGTCATCCTGGGCACTCAAGTTACAAATATGGCTTTAAATGTTTTAAAGTTTTAATTACCTTCACTGTTCAGATTGTACATTTTAGCTATCTTTAGCATTCGAATTTTAAGCATTATTGTCTTTAGTAGTCAGATTGAAACTATCATTTAACATCAGCAATCAAACTGAAACTCGTGTCTTTTATCTGTAGGTACTCAAGCTAGACACGTCATGTACTCAAATGGAAAACATCATACAATTAGTACTCAAATGGAAAACATCATACAAGTGTAGTACTCAAATTGAAAACATCATACAACTGTAGTACTCAAGTTGAAACATCATACAACTGTAGTACTCAAGTTGAAACATCATACAACTGTAGTACTAAAATTGAAAACATCATACAATTAGTTCTAAAATTGAAAACATCATACAACTGTAGTACTCAAATTGAAAACATCATCCAATTAGTACTAAAATTGAAAACATCATACAACTGTAGTACTAAAATTGAGAACATCATGCAACTGTAGTACTGAATTGAACACATCATACAATTAGTTCTAAAATTGAAAACATCATACAACTGTAGTACTCAAATTGAAAACATCATACAATTAGTACTAAAATTGAAAACATCATACAACTGTAGTACTAAAATTGAAAACATCATACAACTGTAGTACTAAAATTGAGAACATCATGCAACTGTAGTTCTAAAATTGAAAACATCATACAACTGTAGTACTCAAATTGAAAACATCATACAACTGTAGTACTAAAATTGAACACATCGTACAACTGTAGTACTAAAATTGAAAACATCATACAACTGTAGTACTCAATTTGAAAGCATCATGCAACTGTAGTACTGAAATTGCGAACATCATACAACTGTAGTACTAAAATTGAACACATCGTACAACTGTAGTACTAAAATTGAACGCATCATACAACTGAAGTACTGAAATTGAGAACATCATACAAGTGTAGTACTCAAATTGAAAACATCATACAACTGTAGTACTAAAATTGAAAACATCATACAACTGTAGTACTCAAATTGAAAACATCATACAACTGTAGTACTCAAATTGAAAACATCATGCAACTGTAGTTCTGAAATTGAAAACATCATACAACTGTAGTACTAAAATTGAAAACATCATACAACTGTAGTACTCAAATTGCAAAAACATTGAAAACATCATGCAACTGTAGTACTCAAATTGAAAACATCATGCAACTGTAGTACTCAAATTGAGAACATCATGCAACTGTAGTACTAAAATTGAAAACATCATACAACTGTAGTACTCAAATTGAAAACATCATGCAACTGTAGTACTCAAATTGAAAACATCATACAACTGTAGTACTAAAATTGAAAACATCATACAACTGTAGTACTCAAATTGAAAACATCATGCAACTGAAGTACTGAAATTGAACACATCATACAACTGTAGTACTAAAATTGAACACATCATCCAACTGTAGTACTAAAATTGAAAACATCATGCAACTGTAGTACTCAAATTGTACAACTGTAGTACTAAAATTGAAAACATCATACAACTGTAGTACTAAAATTGATACAAACATCATACAACTGTAGTACTAAAATTGAAAACATCATACAACTGTAGTACTCAAATTGAAAACATCATACAACTGAAAACTAAAAATTGAAAACATCATGCAACTGTAGTACTAAAATTGAGAACATCATACAACTGTAGTACTAAAATTGAAAACATCATACAACTGTAGTACTCAAATTGAGAACATCATGCAACTGTAGTACTAAAATTGAAAACATCATACAACTGTAGTACTCAAATTGAAAACATCATACAACTGTAGTACTCAAATTGAAAACATCATACAACTGTACTAAAATTGAAAACATCATACAACTAAGTACTTTAAATTGAAAACATCATACAATAAGTACTGAAATTGAGAACATCATACAACTGTAGTACTCAAATTGAAAACGTCATACAATTAGTACTAAAATTGAAAACATCATACAATTAGTACTAACATTGAAAACATCATACAGCTGTAGTAATCAAATTGAGAACATCATACAACTGTAGTACTCAAATTGAGAACATCATACAACTGTAGTACTAAAATTGAAAACATCATACAACTGTAGTACTAAAATTGAAAACATCATACAACTGAATTCTAAATTGAAAACATCATGCAACTGTAGTACTCAAATTGAGAACATCATACAACTGTAGTTCTGAAATTGAAAACATCATGCAACTGTAGTACTCAAATTGAAAACATCATACAACTGTAGTACTAAAATTGAAAACATCATGCAACTGTAGTACTCAAATTGAGAACATCATGCAACTGAAGATCTGAAATTGAAAACATCATGCAACTGTAGTACTCAAATTGAGAACATCATGCAACTGAAGTTCTGAAATTGAAAACATCATACAATTAGTACTCAAATTGAAAACATCATACAATTAGTACTCAAATTGAAAACATCATACAACTGTAGTACTAAAATTGAAAACATCATACAACTGTAGTACTAAAATTGAGAACATGACCTTTCATCTTTGGCCTGTTACTGTCAGTATTGTGTGTTAACATTAACTCGTCCTCCACAGCGGAGACCTGAAGTCCTCCATGTACCGCATGAGCTCGTCCAGTGACAAAGATATCCGCCCCAGTAACGACAGCTCCTTGAACGGCGACAACGATGACGACAACCTCAAGATGGAGACTGGTCCTCTTGGCAACATCAGGTACGCTTCACTCAACATCTTTACAGCTGTACTCCACAGCATATCTGATTGTTTCATACCGTTGTTGCCAGCACAATTAAAGCTACATTAAGATAACTTTATTCAGCGTAAAAGCAGCAACATTTACCCGTGAAGATCCGGGTTAGAATTGATCTTCAGTACCCCATGCTTGTCGTGTCGACTAAGACGATCGGGTGGTCAGGCTCGCTGACTTGGTTGACACATGTCATCGGTTCCCAATTGCGCAGATCGATGCTCTTGCTGTTGATCACTGGATTGTCTGGTCCAGACTCGATTATTTACAGATCGGTGCCATATAGTTGGGATATTGCTGAGCGCGGCGTAAACTTAACTCACTGCTGCAGCAATATGTAAGCAGATCTAGCATCATTATAACATGATATAATGCTGATGTAGTACTACAGCATTCATCAAATGCACAATCTTTCAAGAGTTGTATATAGGGCTTGTCAGAACTGTACTTCAGTTACGTCATGGCGAGGCAAAAGAATGAAGGATGAAAGCATCCAAAAGCATTTACCATTGGTGCTAGCAAGATACATTTTAATACGGGGCAAAATGAATCGTTACATCGGACTAGCGGATCCTGATACTGGAAACGGCCACAACTCTGTATAACAAATATTGGCACCTCAGTTCAGCCGCAGTTCTTTTGCAAGTTACCCTGACAACATGTTATAGGTTATTGCATGGTGTTGCAGATTCTCGGTGTTCGGCCTGGGGTCACGGGCCTACCCAAGCTTCTGTGCCTTCGGCCACTATGTGGACACAGTGCTGAGGGAGCTGGGGGGAGAGAAGATATATGAGATCGGGGAGGGAGACGAGCTGTGTGGACAGGAGGAGTCCTTCCGGAACTGGGCGCAAGGGGTCTTCAAGGTGAGTCAACTGACCAATCGACTGGACATATGTCAGAGACACACAGGGAATAGAGATATTGTCGTAAATGTGAGTCAGATACACCCGGGGAATGGCGTTATTGTCGTAAATGTGTGTCAGAGACACAATGGGAATGGGGATATTGTCGTAAATGTGAGTCAGAGACACTCGGGGAATGGCGTTATTGTCGTAAATGTGTGTCAGAGACACCATGGGAATGGGGATATTGTCGTAAATGTGAGTCAGAGACACCCGGGGAATGGCGTTATTGTCGTAAATGTGAGTCAGAGACACCCGGGGAATGGGGATATTGTCGTAAATGTGAGTCAGAGACACCCGGGAATGGCGTTATTGTCGTAAATGTGTGTCAGAGACACCCGGGGAATGGCGATATTGTCGTAAATGTGAGTCAGAGACACCCGGGGAATGGCGATATTGTCGTAAATGTGTGTTAGATACACCAAGAGAATGGCGATATTGTCGTAAATGTGTATCAGAAACACCAAGAGAATGAAGATATTGTCGTTAATGTGTGTCAGATACACCATGGGAATGGGGATATTGTCGTAAATGTGAGTCAGAGACACCCGGGGAATGGCGTTATTGTCGTAAATGTGAGTCAGAGACACCCGGGGAATGGGGATATTGTCGTAAATGTGAGTCAGAGACACCCGGGGAATGGCGTTATTGCCGTAAATGTGTGTCAGAGACACCCGGGGAATGGCGATATTGTCGTAAATGTGAGTCAGAGACACCCGGGGAATGGCGATATTGTCGTAAATGTGAGTTAGATACACCAAGAGAATGGCGATATTGTCGTAAATGTGTATCAGAAACACCAAGAGAATGAAGATATTGTCGTTAATGTGTGTCAGATACACAACGGAAATGACCATAACGTCGTAAATCTGAGACAGAGACACAAAGGGACAGGACATATGTCGTAAATCAGAGACACAAAGGGACAGGACATATGTCGTAAATCAGAGACACAAAGGGACAGGACATATGTCGTAAATGTGACTTTGTCTTTGCTGTTTGTCTTCGAGAGCTACAGCGTGTTATATGTACTTGATATCAACCACGGAAAATTCTACTTCAAGCTTGATTATTTACAGGACGACGTCATACAGTATAAATATTACTGAGAATTAAACGCACTAGTACTTAATGCTGTATTGAAACAATTAACACGAACCGTATATCGATGCTTTGTCATTCTATACCCGGTATTCACTATACAGGCCGCCTGTGACACCTTCTGCCTCGGCGACGACATCAACATGTCGGAGGTAGAGGGGGCGTTGTCCAGTGCGGACAATACGTGGACACCGGGCAAGTTCCGCATCACGCCCATGGACAACGAGAAGGAACAGGACATCTGTGAAGGTAGGTAGAGTGAGTGAGTGAGTCAGACTCAACGCCTATTTAAACAGTATTTCAATAACATAATGGCATGTAAGCTAGAAGATTAGGGACAGCAGATGACTGAGGTTTAAAGCTTAACAGCTTTGGTGAAACACGGTTCTAAAAAGCGATAGCCATAAAGTAAACGGGGAGAACCGGAATGAGCTTCCCACGATCAGCGATTTCTGGAACTTCTAAGGGACGCAATCCTGTACAGTTAAATGCGGCGCTACTGCTGAATAGTCCTCGTTGATTTCTGGCCAGATCGGTGTTTACAATGTCTTCAATAGGAATGAAGAATGATGACAATCTTTATGGACATACAACTTCTTTTATTCTGTGGAGGGCGACGTTTCGACATAGATTCTAATGTTGTTGTCAAGCAAGTGATGCCAATTGATTGACAACGAATAAAAGAAGTTGTATATCTATAAAAATTGTCATCATTCTTCATCAACTCAACTTCTAAAATGCCCATCAAAGAAGTCTTCAACAAGGTCAACGCCAGTCAGCCAAGTAAATGTTTTTATGGGAATATAAAACATTCCACATTACGTTTCGAAAAATATGGGACTGTGATATCTCGCCGTGTTGATTGTAATTTTTCCGAAAAGGGTGTTTTACAAAATAGTTCAAGACTTGGTACGTTTAAAATATTCAGGGTTTTAAGTTGGGATAACCTTGTAGTCAAACTGTTCAGATGGGATATAAACACCTGTAACGGTGTTTTAACCGCACAACCTTGTAATGTTCGTTAATACTACATCTAAAGCGAAACACTATTGTCTCGAACTTTGATGTGTCGAACTTACATTGCAAAAGTTGTTTCTCTGAGCATTACGTCTTCGTTCGGTTGTGTCGAGTCTCGGATAATTCCAAGCATTTACGTTGGCCCTTCAGCTTCGACACATCGGTGTACGGTTGTATTTATTAATGTTCTGAACGTCTTTTCCCCAGCACTTGCCAAGCTCCACAGTAAAACCGTGATGCCGTGTAAGGTGATTGAGAGGACACAGCTGCAGACCCCGGAGTCACCGTGAGTGCTTACACTAACTCATTCTTCCACCTGTTGACCTGTGAAGATCCGGGTAGAATTGATCTTCAGTAACCCATGCTTGTCGAGGCGACTAACGGGGTCGGGTGGTCAGGCTCGCTGACTTGGTTGACAAATGTCATCGTACACCAATTGCGGAGATCGATGCTCATGTTGTTGATCACTGGATTGTCTGGTCCTGACTCGATTATTTACAGACCGCCGCCATATAGCTAGAATATTGCTGGGTGCGGCGTAAAACAACAAACCAACCAGCCAACTCTGGTACCTGCGCACAGAGACCATGTCTCTGCTGCGCACAACACACACCAAGCACCGCAATGCGAACTGCTTACCGCCGCACGACACTGCACTGCACACCATTTTAACATTTTCTATGCAGTGTTGGTATGGACCTCTGTCGCTTCAAAATAAGAACAAATTAAAGAGGATTGTTAAAGTTGCAGGTAAAATTGCTTGTTGTCATTTTGATAGTTTAGACACCCTGTACATGTCATCAGTTTTAAACCTTTCTGTCAGAATCTTACAAGACCCAACACATGTTTTAAACCCTTGTTATACACTTTTACCATCTGGCAGTAGGTATCTTTTACCAAATGTAAAGTCAAAGAGAAGTAAACACTCTTTTACACCAGTTAGCATATCCGTTTAAACAAGTCTTAAACATTATTCTCTTAGTATATTTATTGTTAGATGTTTGTCTTATAAATAATGTTGTTTACTATGCAGTCAATGTCATTGTTGCTGCTCATGTCTTAAATGTTGTTTTCTTATGTTCTCAACTCTGATGTACACCAAATTCCCTTTCGGGCAATAAAGCATTATCTTATCTTATCTTATCTTATCTTATCTTATCTTATCTTATCTTATCTTATCTTATCTTATCTTATCTTATCTTATCTTATCTTATCTTATCTTATCTTATCTTATCTTATCTTATCGGGGCGGTGGGGTAGCCTAGTGGTCAAAGCGTTGGCTCGTCACGCCGAAGATCCGGGTTCGAATCCCCACATGGGTACAATGTGTGAAGCCCATTTCTGGTGTCCCCCGCCGTGATGTTGCTGGAATATTGCTAAAAGCGGCGTAAAACCAAACTCAGTCAGTCAGTCTTATCTTATCTTATCTTATCTTATCTTATATTAAATGTATGTGTTAAAATACCAGGGTAATTGTCAAATGTGAAATATTCCATACAACACACAGAGCACCTACCCTGGGTTTCGTTCCGCAACACAATTGTTACACACTCCCGCGTCTTTTGACTAACGTTTTCCTCCTATGTTTTCCAGCCGAGAGACTATTTTGGTTCGCCTTGATACCCAGGAAGCCATTGAAATGACGTACCACCCTGGCGACCACATCGGAATCTTCCCTGCCAATTCGCCAGAACTTGTGGAGGCCATCTTGGCTCGCCTGCACAATGCGCCCCCTCCCGACCAAGTCGTAAAGACGGAGATCCTTCAGGAGAAGGCAACTCCTCTCGGTATGATAATCCGCTTTTACATCTGGCTTCAGCAATCAATGTTAAACTTTGTATTAAGACGAATACCAAGCAATATCAGAGTGTGAGTGAGTGAGTTTGGTTTTACGCTGCTTTTAGCAATATTCCAGCAATATCACGGCGGGGCACCAGAAATGGGCTTCACACATTGTACCCATGTGGGGAATCGAACCGGGTCTTCGGCGTGACGAGCGAACGCTTTAACCACTAGTGAGTGAGTGAGTACTGTTTTACGCTGCTTTTAGCAATATTCCAGCAATGTCACGGCGGGGGCACCAGAAATGGGCATCACACATTGTACCCATGGGGGGAATCGAACCGGGTCTTCGGCGTGACGAGCGAACGCTAGGCTACCCCACCGCCCCCTTTAACCACTAGGCTACCCCACCGACCCAGCAATATCAGAACTTACATAATCCTATTTTGACTCGTGATTGAACATCTTCCAACAATAGGGCTAAAACCATTCAGTAGGCATTCCATCTTTTATTGGTTATGCTTTGTTATTTTGACATGCTGACCCTTACTCTTTGCTTAGGGTCTGTAAAGAACTGGATGAAGTTTGAGAAGATGCCCCAATGTTCACTGCGGACGGGGTTCACGAGGTATCTGGACGTGACCACGCCCCCCTCTCAGGCCCTGCTCAAGCTACTGGGTACTCTAGCAACACGTGACGAGGACAAAGAAAGGCTAGAGCTATTATCGAGTGTGAGTAGTCAGAGAACGAAATTAGCTATTGCTGGAAACGCCCGTAAAATTTGTCACTTATAACTGACTGACTGACTGAGTTTGGTTTTACGCCGCTTTTAGCAATATTCCAGCAACATCACGGCGGGGGACACCCGAAATGGGCTTCACACATTGTGCCCATGTGGGGATTCGAACCCGGGTCTTCGGCGTGACGAGCCAACGCTTTAACCATTAGGCTACCCCACCGCCCCTGTCACTTATAAAGTTAATCATACTCAAAGAGCAATACCTTAGATATTGTATTTTTTTCTTCTATTGATTTGAAATATTTATTCTAACTCTAACACTAACTGCTATTTTTGTGGTTGGTAAATGGTCACACTCTTTCGATTTATGATTTCAAAGAATTGTACGTTCAGGTAATCTTTTTTACGCAAGAGCACGTATTGCGAAATGATTGATGTGTCAGCATAACACCCGATCTTAAGTTCGTGAGTGAATGAGTTTTACGCCGCTTTTAGCAACATTCCAGCAACATCACGGCGGGGGACACCAGAATGGGCTTCGCACATTGTACCCATGTGGGGATTCGAACCCGGATCTTCGGCGTGACGAGAGACGAACGCTTTAACACTTGGGTTACCCCCACCGCCCGCTTAAGTTCGTCAAAGTGATACACATCCCGAGGGAAAGCATCACTCACGATTTTCTTTATCAGTATGCTTAGATGGCGTTATGTTCCAGACATTACACGTTTTAATATACTTTACAAAATCTCGACTAAAAAAACAAGTGAAACATGAAACTAAATGAAAAGCAGTTGTATATCTTCAAATTCCACTCACTAGTAATAAGTACAAGGTTATTACAATTCACTTTTACTGTTGCTAACATTTTGAAAATATTATTTAATATTCTTAAATTAAAACTTGTAAAAGCTTCAAAACACATCGCTCAATGATCATCCTCCTTCCGCCGATTGTCTCCACTTACCTAACATTTTGAGATTATCACAAATATATATTTAAAATTATGATTTTCAAAAATATATATTTTTCTACCCACCGTCTTGAATTTCGGGGCTCATGATCTGTGAACGCTAAAACAAACTCTGCAACCATGTACCGGAGTCAAGCGCATATGAGGACTGGAAGAATGACAATATGCCCACCTTGGATGAGGTTTTGAGAAAATCACAAAAATATATTTGAAATTATAATTTTTAATGATATATATTTTTCTACCCACCATCTTGATGTTTGAGCTCATGATCTGTAAACCCTAAAAGCAAAATCTGAATTATTTACAGGAATCCAGCGCCTACGAGGACTGGAAGTATGACAATATGCCCACCCTGGTGGAGGTTCTGGACGAGTTCCCCTCCCTCAAGGTTCCGCCGTCGTTGCTGATGACGCAGCTCCCCCTCCTCCAGCAGCGTTACTACAGCATCAGCTCCTCCCCCTGCGTCTACCCAGGGGAGGTCCACACCACCATCGCTGTCGTCAAGTACAGGACACAAGGTAGCCAGATATAACATATACTCAAGGCAATAAATAAGGGATCGGATTGTAATTGATCATTTCACATGCCGTTATGTTGCATATGTAGCTTTTGATTATATTTTATTTGCAATGGATAGCACTAGATATTAACCTTCAAACGCTTGTCGATTTATCCAGTGGTCTGTTAGTAGATGTTCTCAGTTGCTTTGACAAGTATTTTTAGGGAAATATATTCAGCGAAATATTTCCTATTTCATTTACTCATATTTTGTTAAATAATATTTTACACCTATTGATGTTTACGATTTGTGTCCTTTGGACAGTGGAAGTGTCAAAACACCCAATGTATATGTTTGAATGCATATGCTTCGTAGAGATTTCGGGTTCTATTTGGTAACAAACATATGCCATTTCACATAAACCGTTTCAGAACATAAATGATGAATTCAAACCTGTAGTCGTTGATGTCGTGGTGTTGCAGGTGGTGCTGGCCCTGTTCACGAGGGTGTGTGTTCCTGTTGGCTCAATACGTGCGATGTCGGTGAAATTGTTCCCTGTGCTATTAGAGCGTGAGTAGTCTCTACATAGCTACAATCAGTTACATAGCTACAAGCAAGTTTAAAGCGGAAGTCTTTATTTGTGTCACTGTATCCAAACGTCGATCTGCGCATGTCAGGATGTCAAAGTCTGATGCGCACGTAACTCGAGAAAACTTTCGCTGGAACCATTGCCGGATGATAAAAATGAAATCCATTTTTGTCTCGTATCTATCCACTCTAGCTTGTGTAAATATTTGTCAGCTTACATTTTCTTCTCTAGAGAAAGAAGTCAAACAATTTCTTTAGGACACATAAATCATTACTTTTCAGAACATGTCGTTGGAACTGAAGGCAATTTCAAGGACAGAATCAGTTTAATAAACAAATAATTTGTATTCAGTGTTTTCAAAAATAATATCGCAATGACTGAGATAGCTGGCGAGCTGGTTAATTGAACATTTTACAACTGAATCTGTACTGAACATGGTTACATGTCAAAACACAGGCATGGGACAAAAGGATAATTTTTCACAGGTTTAATTTGTTAAATGCATGGGTGGAGCACTCTGCTTTCTGCAATCTCCTTTACCTTGTCCGAACCCACAGGACCCATGAAGATCCATGTTAGAATTCAATAACCCATGCTTGTCAACAGAGGCGACTAACGGAATCGGGTGATCAGTTTCGCTGACTTGGTTGACACATGACATCATATCCCAGTTGCGTATATCGATGCTCATGCTGTTGATCACCGGATTGTCACGCGATTATTTACAGACCGCCGACATATAGCTGAAATATTGCTGAATGCAGAGTTAAACAACAAACAAACAACCAAACAAAATGTAACCCACAGCGAGAGCACGAGCGCTTCAAGCATTGTCGATAGCGGCGGTGATGGCGGATATCCGTGAGCTTTTGACTTCATTCTTGTTCCCTGTTGCGGCAATCATGTAGACGTTAGATGTTACAGTCAACGTTTATTACCCACAGTGCCCCCAACTTCCGGCTACCCGAGGACAGCACGTTGCCGATGGTGATGGTGGGTCCAGGCACGGGTATCGCACCGTTCCGAAGCTTCTGGCAACAGCGGAAGGTGGACCGAGATATGCACCCGGTCCCCACACGTGAGTACTTTGTTATCTCGGGTACATCCTCCATAATGCAGTGTGTTGTATATGTTACAGGGAATGTGTGAAACCAGGGATTTCACGTAATCCCTGAAAGATTCAGTGATTTCGCGAAATCACTGTGACCCCCAGGGATTACATGTATTCCCTAAAATTTCCAGGGATTTCATGAAATTACTGATTTTATTGGTGTTCCATTACACACATTCCCTGTTAGGATATCAGTGAATGTGTGAAGTTAATGATTGTAGCTTAAAACTTTACTGTTGAGTCTCATTTCATCCCTTAGTTCTTAGGAGTTGAAAACTTTGACAATTTGCCGATGACACTTTTGGCTAATTACTACCTTGAGTCGGGATACCAAGTTAATTTTCTCACGGCTTTACTGTTTAGTCTCATTTCATCCCTTAGGAGTTGAAAACTTTGACTATTTACTGATGACACTAAGTCAAGCTAAGAGAGGGAAATTACCGGGTTTCCATAATCTTCCAGTTGATGTTTTGACAAATGACATCTGTATAGATTATCTTCATAAACTGTTTTCTACATGGTCATGTACCCTCCAAATGGGCCCAGGGGATCATTAACTACCCCTAAGTCTGGAGCTGACAATCTGAGAGACCCAATGTCTTATCGCAGCATCACACTAGTGCATCTTGTTGTTATGATTAATAATTTAATCAATATTCCTTTTGTAGTTTCAAAAGTTACAGACGTTGTTTTTAGCGATTTCGTTTATAAATGGAAACAGGACCTTTTACATATCTTTTACATTTTCATCCCAAACGTTTTATTTCGTTTCGTTGCTTACTTAACTTTTGTTATACTCGGTTTCGCTTCCTTTTACCATTTCTAAAATCCATATGTACCATAAATGGCAACCTCCATTCAGCAGTGTTCACCATGCCCGTGAAACAGAAATAGTCTTTAAAAATGGACCAGCCTTGGCGTCCTTTACACATATACACCGTACGAAACGCCTTCCTTCACCCGTGCATCCAATCACCGTGTTTTCCATATATACATTCTGCTTTGATACCCTGGCAGCGTATTCACAAAGCTGATTAAGCTTAAGAAAGGGACATCAATAACAGATTGACATATTCGATATTAAAATTTTAAAACAAAATCACTTTTTAACAGCACCATTTTCGCTGAAAGCTACCGACGTACAATATTCCAACCAATGTCATAGAGGTGTAGTTGAAACATTTGGTCGTGACAGAAATAAAATATGAGGTCGGTTTGCAATCGACAATATACCCATGTTCTATGGTTTCACCAATGTGGTACCGGAACCATTTCTATTTCTGCTCCTGCATTAAGCTAATCCGCCGTGATGTTCCTGGAATATTGCTACAAGCGGCGTCAAACTAAACTCACTCACCCCGCCGTGACTTAACTGGAAAACTGTTCAAAGCCACAAGAAACAAACTTCGTTTTTTTACTACTGGCTCTGAAAACTGATGTTGCTATATCAAGTTAGTTTTTGTTTTTGTTTGGTGTATTGTTTAACACTGCACTCAGCCACATTCCAGCAACATGGTGGAGTTGGGTCTTGTGTCTGATGAGCGATTGTGACTGCTTCCAGACGGCGAGAAGCGGGGCTGGGGAGACATGTACATGTATTTCGGCTGCCGGATGTCAACGGAGGACAATATATTTGGGTCGGAGTTGAAGCAGCTGAAAGAGGAAAGCGTCATGTCCGACTATTACGTGGCCCTGTCTCGAGAACCGGGCAAGTCCAAGGTAAGGACGGACAACCACACTGACAAATAGTTGCTTATGACAGTTTCGTTGAAATCCAATTTCCTAGGATACAATTACGAAGCGATATGGGGCGGTGGGTTAGCTTAGTGGTTAAAGCGTCTTGTTACGCCGAAGACCCGGGTTCGATTCTCCACATGGGTACAATGTGTGAAGCCCATTTCTGGTGTCCCCGTGATATTGCTGGAATATTGCTAAAAGCGGCGTAAAACTCAACTCACTCACTCACTCCTAGCGATAGCAGTAGTCCTCATGCCACCACCATTGATGCAGGTGTACCCAGAACAACCTTTGAAAACTTCTTTGAGAGGCATTTTAGAAGTTGTATAGATGAAGGAAAACCAAGTTCTATGGATAGTCAACTTCTTTATTGCAATGGGTGCGACGTTTCGGTGTAGGTACTAACACCGAATCACTTTCTTGATAACGGTTTTAGTACCTACACCGAAACGTCGTACCCATTGAAACAAAGAAGTTGACTATCCATGGAACATGGTTTTCTTTCAACCTTTGATAACGTTATTTAATTATAAGATGTGCGTGTTCTTTAACGACTTCTATGACGATTGTTCATTTTCCCTTCACACTAGGGGGGCGGTGGGGTAGCCTAGTGGTTAAAGCGTTGGCTCGTCACGCCGAAAACCCGGGTACAATGTGTGAAGCCCATTTCAGTCCCCCGCCGTGATGTTGCTGGAATATTGCTAAAAACGGCGTAAAACCAAACTCAGTCAGTCAGTCAGTCTTCACACTTGTTTTCGGATATTTGATTTATGAATGAAAACACAGTACTTAAATTTTCTTCGATGGTAGATTCTGCCGACTCCCAGGGAATCATAAACATGAGAGATACATGGTAGATTTCCGTGCTTTGTGAAACCTGACGAAATTGTGTATTGTGGAGACAGTGGGGTAGCCTAGTGGTTAAAGCTCTCGTTTGTCACGCCAAAGGCCCGGGTTTGATTCGCCACATGAGTACATCGTGTAAACCAATTTCAGGTGTCCCCCGCCGACGTAAAGCAAAACTCACTCGTGTACCCAGATCACGATTACGATTCCGTAGTACGATATGTTCTCTTGTCTATACAGTCTTGTGTGTTTCTTTAGGTGTACGTGCAGGATATACTACACACGAACGCCAAGAGTGTATGTGACGCTATAATGAAGCGTGGGGGCATTTCTACGTGTGTGGCGACGTATCGATGGCGGATGACGTCACACGAACCCTGGAGCGGATCCTTACAGAGGAAGGTGGATTAACGCCAGAGAGTGCTAGAGCCTTCGTCCTCAAACTGAGGGTAAGCTGACAAATATCTCTGAAGTATTTCAATTTTTTCAGATATGTCCATGAAATACACGTCACTTCCTGTGACAGCATTGTGCTGCTGTGATAATCGGGCAATGGTTGTTAGGGGCAACTGGCGGGATCATCGTATTCTGAGTCTAGGCATCGATGCTCATGATGTCACTCTCTGGATTGTCTGGTCCACTGTATGTTATTTGAAGTCCTCCGTTAAATAGCTGGGGTACTGCTAGGTGGGGCTTCAAGGGACCGTTCATGATTTATGGCATTGTAAGTGCCCCCTGCATGTCATGTACAAACTCAATGCCCCTCCCCTTCCCACAATTTTTAAGCATATTTTTTTAATATCTACAAAATTGCTGACCCCACGAAGTACAAATGTACAAAATTGATTAACCCCCTACCTCCCCAGAACAAAATGGGTGACTCCCTCTTAAAATATTCATCAACCCCCCTAGCCATAAAATATGAACGGTTCCTGAGCAACATACAAAAACACGAACCAGAAAGGAAAGAGTACTCTCCCTTTGAATGCATCTAATATTTTATATATGCGTCGGGCAGACATTATGGGGTCTCATTATTCTCTCTCTCAGGATGCAAACAGATTCCACGAAGACATCTTTGGCGTTAGTATTCAGAAAAGTTCAGAGGTGACAGACAGGTCACGTGACTCAAGCAAACGTGCGCTGAAATACATAAACTCTACTGACAAGCCCGCCAAACCCGACGCGGTGAAGGAAGTAGCCACGCCCATTCCTGCCTCTGTGAGTAGAACCTTATTCACTCTATTTGTGATGTCCCCCGTGGTGATAATGCTAGAATGTTACCAAAGGCGCCGTAAAACAATACTTACGCGCTTAATGTACATGTTATTAACCCGCGAAGATCCGGGTTAGAATACTGATCTTCAGCAACCCATGCTTATCGTAAGAGGCGACTAACGGGATCGGGTGGTCAGGCTCGCTGACTTGGTTGACACGTGCCATAGTATCCCAATTGTGTAGATCGATGTTCATGCTGCTGATCACTCGATTGTTTACAGACCAACGTCATGAAGCTGGCATATTGCCGAGTGCGGCGTTAAACAACAATCAATCAATGTTATTCATGTGAGGTGAAGTGAGGTGAGGTGAAATTGGGTTTAACGTCGTGCTTGAGAATATTTCGCTCATATGACGACGTGCATGCGTGTGTATGTGTATGTGGGGCTGCTTGTACTAGCCCAGACTGAAGCTAGTTTTATAGTGCTAGCCCACTGAGATACCATGCCGCAGTGAAGCAGAAATACCCCACTCAGACACATTATACTGACTCCGAACCGACCAGTCCTTGTTGTACCCATTAATGCCGAGCGCCAGGCAGGGACCAACAAGTACCATATTTAAACGTCTTTTGGTATGACGCGGTCGGGGATCGAACCCGCGACCTTCCGCTCTCCGGGCGGACGCTCTAACCACTGTACCACGGAGGCGGTAGAGCCAGTAGTAAATGAACGAGGTTTGTTTCTTGTGGCTTTGAACAGTTTTCCAGTTAAGTCACGGCGGGGTGAGTGAGTGAGTGAGTTTAGTTTAGTTTGACGCCGCTTGTAGCAATATTCCAGGAACATCACGGCGGATTAGCTTAATGCGGGAGCAGAAATAGAAATGGTCCCGGTACCACTTTGGTGAAACCAAAGAACATGGCTAAAATACCTTAACTTATAGTTTAACCCACCCTTCTTGTTCTAGGACCGGAAGACCCTTCCTGGCAAACCCAAGGTTCCCAGCAAGAATATCTTCATGAAGCAGAGGATTGAACCGGAAGGAGGAGTCGATCGACCGGAAATGCCAACTGAAAACTGAAGTCGACAGATAGTCACTAAAAAAATATAAATTTTCTTTCTCTTAAAACCATATGGTAGATGTAGAAATGCGTGTTTTCATTGCCGACATTTAAACTACAATTGTGGTTGTTGCTTAGAGGGGAGGTAACTCTAAATATATGTGAACAACTGCTGTTACTGTTGCAACATTTTGATCACGTGGGTTTTACTGGAGACGCCATGTCAGGGGTCTCGGTACAAGGTGAAGGTCACCAGGTGTTCCTGTTTTGTCTTGGAGGCCGTGGAGTCTCTGATACGTCGTTGTTATGTACATAATTCCTTGTTGAGCCATATTTCTACGACTATTTTCTATTTTGTGGGGCTTCACAGCAATATACTGTAGCAGAATTGCAAAGCGTATTATAGTGTTTTCTTCTTTTCGTTGTGTTGAGCACCGTTAATAAATAACACTGTTTGATATCAGTTCTGTTACATATCGGTGCATACTAGCCATGGTAGAATGGTAGAATTATATAGATTTGGTAAGACGAGATCCAACGCATAAAAGGTTGTCCTTTTTGTGCTATGGTGAGTCAGATTGTTGAAACGGATGTAACGAAGTCAGTTTTACGATTAGTAGGCTATGATCAAACTAGTTTTACTACCCATGAGTCGAAATAACTGAATAACAAGTTTCGGGTGTATCGAAATGATTGTGACCAGACGCTCTTTGAGTTCGTTATGTTTGGAGTTGACCGTTTGAGTAGATTCACTTGATACAGTGCAATGTGATGCATTAGAAAAACTAAGTTTCGTTAAACAGGTAAAGAAGGGTGAAGTAAGTCTTGAGTCAATAGCAGCTCTCTGTGACCGAATTTGCCGGTAAACCATTCACACCAGTACCTCTTTCCCAAGAGGCGACTAACGGCATCGGGTGGTCAGGCTCGCTCACTTGGTTGACACATGTCTTCGTATCCCAATTGCGTAGATCGATGCTCATGCTGTTAATCACTGGATTGCCTGGTCCAAATTCGGTAATTTACACACCGCCGCCATATAGCTGGAATATTGCTGAGTGCGGCGTAAAACAACAAACGAACTAACCTCTTTCCCATTTAGCGTCCAGTACAACACCAAGGATTAACGTCTCCAGCTGCATGCCATATTGCGTGTGACCCCAACCCAGTCACTGACCCGGGCCATCTTTACACGCACCTATCCCAACCCCAACCTCAACCCGAACCCCAACCTCAACCTCAACCCTCCACTCGTAATATCTTGTCATACCGTTGAACCCATCTAATCCCTGTCCCATCTTCCAGCACATGCATGCAGACGGGATCTATTCAATCCGCCGACATCACGGCCCGAGGCTCAAACTAGCTCCAAACCCCTACCCTATTGTTCCATGTTGACCACCCGTCCCGGGGATCAGTTTTCTCCCTTCTCCCTCTCCCTGCGTGATCCTCTTAACTGCCTTGTTCACGGGTTGTGATCACTTTTGTAACTCTATATTCCATTAACCTTCAGGCTAAAACACATTTAACACAGGACATACCGATTACTTTAACAAAAACCAAGGTACCTAAACCTATCACGTATTTTCCAGCAAACCTACTGTGTTAATTATTTTTGTAATACAACCTCACTCAAAAGCAGGCAACAATTAAACTGTTTAAGTGTCCCGCAAACTAGGAATTTGTGTTTTAATTTACTTAATTAAGAATTTACTTCCTATCTTCTATCTTACATCTTTGGTACGAACCATAAACAGTTTCGGACCCTACAAAGTTCATGATATTTTCTCTCCGGGTTAAACACCCATCTATCCCACCTGTACTATTAATTCATGCTTGTATCTTCATAAGACAATAAGACCCGGGTTCGATCCCACATGGGTACAATGTGTTAAGCCCATTTCTGGTGTCCCCCGCCGTGATATTGCTGGCATATTGCTAAAAGCGGCGTAAAACCAAACTCACTCACTCACTCATAAGACAATACTTCCAAGTGATTTGACAGCCTTCCGACTGACAAAGGATCGCCCGATGTCCTCTCCGTCGCCCCTCATATAGATTCCTCACCTTTGTTAACGCCGACGTTAGTCATAGTTTCAAGAATGTAGGATTTGGGTATACGCTACAACATAGGAATATACTTTCCCAGTTAAGTTACTTTGCATATACATATGAAGTATATGCTTCAGACGTATACATGGATATATTGTACAAGGCATAATCAAATGATTGTTGAGAATATTAAATAAATTATGCATAATCAACGTATATGTATATTTCTTGTTGCCAGGCAACGTTAGTTTCTGGTAGATGGTTAGCGAAGTATTCAGGTATCAACTGAAACAGTAGTATAAGTGTCCTAATGGAGTTAAATGACAATATTTTTCAGCGACTGTGAAATATATTTTCGAAGAAAATTGCTTTGTCACCTGAATCACCTGTATGACATATAAGGCTGTTTATTTATTTTGATAATTTTACATTCAACTGTTCTGCTGAATCTATTTTCATAAGCACAGTTATCATTTTTTTTCGTTTTGTTAAATCATCACATGGGCCAATCCGTTGCACAAAACATTTTTTCCTATAACGGTGTTCTGTTTCCACAGGGACTGTGCTGTTATCATTAAGAGATATAACAGGCGAAGTCAATGCAATGTTATTACAGAATATTAAGCGATATATAACAAAATGTACTATACATAGAATTAAGTTCAGAACAAACTAAACTTGAGTTCTTACATACGAAAATACACTCAAATACCTTTGTGTCGAAGTTGAAGGGAACTGCGTATGTGCTTCGAGTTATCCGCGGTTCGTCATAACTGAAAACTGAGCTGGAGTTTCTATGCAAGATCCATTTATCAGAGTACATTCGAGCTGGAATGTTAAGGACTGGCAATTGACTTCGACGTAACCCTTAATTCGACACATCAGAGTTTAAATAACTATTTGATAACACCTGCGCAGGGATCTACCTTTACTTCCTGACATCCGTTCGACACAACGATATTTGCTGTATTTCGTTTTTCCAACGTGCCCGATGCTATTATTGAACCATCGTAGTTTTTTGTACAGGCATAGACACTTTTGGTTGCCTAGCAACTGCTTTAGTGATCAACAATTGTCAACAAAGAGGGTTGTCAACTTGTCATGTTGACGTCGGTTATGTGTTCGTTGTTACTGTAAAGTGTAGTTTTCAAGATTTATCGCGTGCAGTCAGCCCCTAGTTGTAGGAAAACACGTTAGTATCCATGTTACGGGCCCTGCTGATGCTCTTGCTGGCCCGGATCGGGCAATTTTGGTTATGTTTTAGCATGAACAATGCGTGATTGATGTACATACTATTTTTCATTGTTGGCCTTTTACATGTATTATTCTTATATCAACTTATGCACTGGTACGTGTGTACGATCAATCTGTTACTGTTGTTACTATTTTTATGTTACTAATATGCATTTTATTTGAAGGTCTGCAAATATGACACTGTAACCTGTTTAGAGATTCTGGTTTGTTTCGAGATAGATGAAAGTTGTCGTAGGACAAGGTGATCCGGAAGTAGAATGACGTCATCAATGAAATGCTACACGTCCATGTGGCTTTACATTTCTTTGTTTCGTATACGGATCCGCTGATTTTGAAAGTCGAAAGCTCAGAAAAAGATATAGATCAAACCGCCGACAATTAAGATTACTTTGAAAAAAAATGTAATCCAATGGATCTTACTATGACTAAATCAGAATATTTTAAACGGTGATATAAGCCATATTTCAGATTTATAATGTGTTTGAGGACATAAAATATGACCAAGTTTTTATTATGAACCAATACAAGTCCATTTTTAGGTTAATTAAGAAGTTCTTCAATACATGTAGAAAGAATTCGACCGAGTGACGAAATGTCCGCAATCCAAAACCATAAGCCAGTACGGAAATCCTCTTGTTTGTCTTTATAAAGCTCAAACTTATGAAAGTCTCCGGAAAGTATTACCATTTTCCCCTACAAAACCTACCATCGCAACACTGCATTAGCCTCGGCCCAACAAGACGTTACTTTCATGTCCCATCACAGTAGTCGCCGAAAAGGATGATCTTTCTCTCGAATAGCGTATGAAGCGTCATATTGTGACAATTCCTCGTGTTTTCGTTTGAAAGAGGTTTTATTGCACAAAGACGTTAGCGTCTCCAACGCAAGAATGTCAACGGGGTGCGGGGTCCCAGTAGTATGACATTAATAGACGGAGTTAGAGTCACGCTTCTTGCAAACCAAGCCTGTGTGAACAGTGCCGGAAGTGACGTCATGCTCGTAGTAAACCAAATATGTGTGAACAGTGCCGGAAATGACGTCATGATCATAGTAAACAAAGCTTGCGTGAACTGTGCCGGAAATGACGTCACGCCCGTAGTAAACCAAGTTTGTGTGAACAGTGCCGGAAATGACGTCAAGCTCGTAGTAAACCAAGTTTGTTGAGGATTGTTAAACGGAAAGGGACTGATTGTGACGGGACTGTCCGGATTTGGCCCACCAATATAACGTAGACCTGACCGAATTTGTCATACCAATCATGTATTCAATACTTAGCCCATTACAACCGCTTGGCAAGGGTTCATCTTATAACGATCCAGTGATGGGTACATCTAATTCGGTGAGTGCGGTGGCTTTAGTCAAAGAGACAAATTTGTCGGTGCAGCATACACGGTGAAGGTATTTAGAGGTGATTAACTTGAATCTGAAAAGGGAATACTTAAAAAGCATTGGTATTTTCTTTAATAATTGTTGTTTGTGTATAGTTAAGTTTGTTGTTACAGGTTGTTACACCACAGGTTGATTAGGGTTATTTTTTGTCTGGACCAAAGTTATAGGACGTAGTGTTGTTGGAACAATCATCAACGTGGCTATACAATTGACGGACCATGAAATGTACAGGGTAGATTCTGGAGGCATTCAGTGGACTGAATGTACAGCTGTTGCACTTGAGAGGTTCCTGCAACCTGTGCTGCATTAACTGATTGAACTGTAATTAGGGGAATGTTTGCCATCAGTTATGTATGGCTGTATAGTTATGTCTGATACCGCTTTAAAACAGCTGTCACTATGTTGATGTACTGGTATTTCAACTGTACAGCTGTTACGGTGCGATGTAGTTGTTCAACTGCTTCAACTGCACAATGGTCACTATGTCAAGTTCAACTGTACATCTGTCACTGTGTTAATGTGCAACTGTTTCAACTGTACAGCTGTAACTATTAGTGTGCAGCTGTTTCAACTGTACAGCTGTAACTATTGATGTGCAGCTGTTTCAACTGTACAGCTGTAACTATGTTGTGTGCAACTGTACAGCTGTCACTATGTCGATGTGCAACTGTTTCAACTGTGCAGCTGTCACTATGTCGATGTGCAACTGTTTCAACTGTACAGCTGTCACTATGTTGTGTGCAACTGTACAGCTGTCACTATGTTGATGTGCAACTGTTTCAACTGTACAACTGTAACTATTGATGTGTAGCTGTTTCAACTGTACAGCTGTGTGGATGTGCAATTGATTCAACTGTTTCAAATGTACAGTTGTAATTGTATTTTGTGCAACGGTTTCAACTGTACAGCTACCACTGTGTTCACGTGCAGCTGTTTCAATTGTACAGCTGTCACTATGTCGATGTGCAACTGTTTCAACTGTGCAGCTGTCACTGTGTTGATGTGCAACTGTTTCAACTGTACAGCTGTAACTATTGATGTGCAACTGTGCAGCTGTCACTATGTTGATGTGCAACAGTTTCAACTGTACAGCTGTAACTATTGATGTGCAGCTTTTTCAACTGTGCAGCTGTCACTGTGTTGATGTGCAACTACTTCAAATGTACAGCTGTCACTGTGTTGATGTGCAACTGTTTCAACTGTACAGCTGTAACTATTGATGTGCAGCTGTTTCAACTGTACAACTATGTTGACGTTCAATTGATTCAACTGTACAGTAACTCACTATTGGCATGCCACTGTTTCAGCTGAACAGCTGTAACTGTGTTGAAGTGCAGCTGGTTTAACAGCATAATATGTCACTGTTGGTGTACAACTGTTTTATCCGTAGTTGGTCTCCGTGTTTGTGTACAACTGTTTCAACTGTACATTTAATTACTATATTGGTTACTATTGAACTGAACAGTTGATCGCATCGATTCTGCACAACTGTTCAAACGCTATAACGGTGGTACCATAACAGTTCAAAACTGCATGAACTGTACAGTCTCACCATGTGAGACACCTGTACAGATGGAAGGACAGGTGTTGGAACTGTAAAGATGGAGCGTCAACTGATTGACCTGTACAGCAGACCCGACACACGTTGTACAGTTATACTGTACTTCATTCACATTCATTTTGATTGTACATGTTTCCCTCATGATGATGTATTTTATCATTACAATCTTATTTTATCCATTTCTTTACCATTAAAAATTTCCTTATGCAAACAACAGCGTGTGTTATAATTTTGGAACCTGCTGAGTCAGGGTTTTTCTGATAACTACACAGGCAAGTAAATGGCATTGAGTGAGTTTAGTTTTACGCCGCACTCAGCAGTACTCCAGCTATATGGCGGCGTTTTGTAAATAATCGAGTCTGGACCAGACAATCCAGTGATCAACAGCATGAGCATCGTTGCGCAATTGGAAAAATGGCATTGAGAAACTGTCTTTTAAGTGGACTAACGGGATCGGATGATCAGGCTGGCTGTCTTGGTTAATGCATGTCATCGTATCCAAATCGCGTAGATCGATGTAAATCACTGGATTGTCTGGTTCAGTCTTGATTATCTGCAGACCATCGTCATATTGCTAGACGATCGGTTACTGCAGCGTTATAGTGGCTACACTGCTAAAGCCCCTACATCCATAGTGATAAAACAGCTGGTCTACAGCTATAGTGATAAAACAGCTGGTCTGCAGCTATAGTGATAAACAGCTGGTCTGCAGCTACAGTGATAAAAAAGCTGGTTTGTAGCTATAGTGATAAACAGCTGGTCTGTAGCTATAGTGATAAAAGCTGGTCTGTAGCTATAGTGATAAAAGCTGGTCTGTAGCTATAGTGATAAACAGTTGGTCTGCAGCTACAGTGATAAAAGCTGGTCTGTAGCTATAGTGATAAAAGCTGGTCTGTACCTATAATGATAAACAGTTGGTCTGCAGCTACAGTGATAAAACAGCTGGTCCACACCTATAGTGATAAAACAGCTGGTCTGTAGCTATAGTGATAAAAGCTGGTCTGTAGCTATAGTGATAAACAGCTGGTCTGTAGCTACAGTGATAAAAGCTGGTCTGCAGCTATAGTGATAAAACAGCTGGTCCACACCTATAGTGATAAAACAGCTGGTCTGTAGCTATAGTGATAAAAGCTGGTCTGTAGCTATAGTGATAAACAGCTGGTCCACAGCTATAGTGATAAAAGCTGGTCTGCAGCTATAGTGATAAAACAGCTGGTGTACAGCTATAGTGATAAACAGCTGGTCTGTAGCTATAGTGATATACAGCTAGTCTGTAGCTATAGTGAAAAACAGCTGGTCTACAGGTCTGCAGCTACAGTGATAAAAGCTGGTCTGTAGCTATAGTGACAAAATAGCTGGTCTGCAGCTATAGTGATAAACAGCTGGTCTGCAGCTATAGTGATAAACAGCTGGTCTGCAGCTACAGTGATAAACAGCTGGTCTGCAGCTACAGTGATAAAAAAAGCTGGTCTACAGCTATAGTGATAAAAGCTGG